GGTGGATGGGTAGCTAGTAGTCATGCATATTTTTAGATTTTACTATATATATCTAGGAAAATCTATACATTTAAAATTAGGCGGTTTTGCGGCAGATAAAAATAAATAAAGTCAGTTTTGGATCTTAATGGGAGACTTAATTAGCCTTGGGTTAAGGGAATAATTGTTCTTGGAGTAAGCGGATTGCGATCCGCTAAACTCGTACTTGTACCAAGTATAGAACGAAAGGCCGGTGACCTAACTTACGCTTCCTCGAAGCGCAAAGCTACGGTAGCCCCGCTGCACTCACTAATTTTCATAGCGGAGCTACCCTCCGCTCTAGGGCAGTAATAATATCATATCCGCTGGGAATCCTTCAAAATACTCAGTGCTCACAAGCTTAATAAGCCTGCATAACTACCGACTCACCTCAGTATCTACCGCACTTCAAGTCTCTTGATGAGAGTCAGAGTGCTGGATAATTGAAAGAAACAGACGCGGAAGCAAAGAGTATCCCACTTCAACTGGGGCGATTATTTGTTCAGCAGGATTTAATAGTATCAAGTGAGTAGGATATATACCCGTAATTCGGGTCATACTTCGACAAGATTATCCTGATGTCATTGACTCTCATAACCTGGTGAAGCCCCGGTTTTTGTCTCTTTCAAAAAGTACACGATTGCCCGGCGCGACGCGCCCTTCAATCGCAACTGGGGTTCGTATCAGCTCTTCTTCCGAGACATAGTTGACAGTTTCGCATCAATGGTAGAGAACGAAGTGGATCTTTCAGCAACAAGAATTCGTGGTGATGAAATTGCCCTGGGGTCCACGTCGCACTTTGTTAGTCGCTGAGTCAAAAATTTAGCGACCAAATCATCATGAATCAACTTTCTCTGTACAAGCTCCAGTCGCAGATATTGATGAGGCGGGACAACCTCCTAGATGTTTTATACCAAGTGCATTACGATCGCACAGTGCAGCACACTCGTACCGACAATCGGATAATGCTGATATATTGAATGACTAGTGCGAGTTTTGGGCTAAACAGCTATGCCTACAGGTAAACAATCGATACCAACATTTTGCATTTGTTAAGACTAGACATAAGAATGAATACTATACAGGTGTAAATATGCTTGATTAAGTATAGATATTTCTGATATCCAACAAGTGCAAAAGTCAGCTGCATTTCCAGCTTGACAGAAGGCACATAGGATAAATAATTCGACCATCGAGCCAGAGCGGTAATCACAATCTCTCGATGTCTTTGGTAAGCTCTGTGTCGTGGTGTCTGGGGCCTGCATTAGAAAATTGATACGAACTTTTTAGAATCTGCTTTCATTAAATCTGTATTTTGTAACTGAATTACCTAATGACGGCATTCTCTCGCGCTTCGTTCTATCAATTTGTCTCTTCGCCGTCGATTTAAAAAATTGTTCGACTCGTTTGCTTGTGTAGCTCGGGATTTGTCAACCTCAATAGACCATCGTATGTCGTATAATTTTTGATTGTTCAGTTGATGGATTTCTTAAGCTCACTACGATGCACTTGCTGCGGCATTGGATAGATGAGGCTCGTTCTATGGGTATCCATAGTGATCAGTCAGTAAGGAATTCTTCTGTCAATATGAAAAAAACTTCAATTTCCCACGTTGAAGCAGTTACAGTTTGGCAGAGAAGACGTCGATGCGTTTTGCTTCAGCAAATATCTACTCAGGGCAAGAAAAAGCTCTGTTGTTTCAGCGAAGAGCACTTTTAAATTTTAGTGCTCGCGAGTACAGGACAATCAAGTTCAAGAATTGAGAAAAGACGCAATGCCGCTCTTTGGAATAACCTTTGAAGCAGTCTTGAGCCTACCATGGATAACACTTGGATATTTGAAGCAGTTAATGCAGTGGATCAAGTGCTCAATGAATATAAAGGAATCAAATTCTGACATTTCGGCTGATGATATCCTTAAGTCTACTTCGACAAGAGATGTACCATCAATTGATCATGTCGATTATCTAAACAACTCCGAAACGGAGAGTAGCTGCATTTCTGACTCTTGCGAAGAAGACGAGGACGATGTCGAGTTGAGCTATAATGCAAGCGAATTGGAATTGAACAAGCTTTGCTTAGCTGGCAACAACGATGTAATTATTGGAGAAGATCGCTGGTTCTGGACATCTCGTCACGAGGTTGATTCATTTTTAGCACAAAACTGTTCAGAATTTGTTGACTTGAACGACGACAAGGCGTCAACTCTAAATGTTGAAAGGTTGGTGGATTATGTGATGCCATCGATGGATATGAATTCAGAGGCAGCGATTGACGTTTGGGTTGAAAAATACGGGGCCAGTAAATTTGAATTCCGCTACGTGTCTACACCTGTTAGTGAATCAAGCACGGTCGATTCCTGTTGGTCGTCATCTGTTACACCGAGTATTTCAGGATCTTTTGTCGCTGTCTTGTAAAACACCAATGCACCTGACCGAAATGAAGGGTAGCCTTAAAATATGCAGAAATTTTACTTAGAAGCCTTCCAACGGCATATAATATCTTGTTTAGCTGATCAAATCTATTAAAACTAAGACGCTCATACCAATTTGTAAATTTCCATTGCTTCATTCCATTGTGCTGCAACATCAAGGAATCAAAGACTTCGCAGCAAACTTGTCGCAAATTTCATCAAAATACAAACAGATTTCGTACAAAATTTGTTTCAGCTATCATCAAATCCTTGAGTGAGCTGCTCAATTAAATCCTTTTTTTCCCACTTTATTGCTGTTTTAAATGAGAAATGTCATACGCTCAGCGTTGTCGAGAAACTCAGCGGTGAGCTTGAAATCCTATGAAGTAAAGCGATTAAAGCAACCTGCTCTACAAGCAAGACTTTGATGTAAGTCGAAGTTGAATATTCAACTGAACTTATAAATAGTCCCGTTATCCAATCTTCCATTGGAAAACAAATCCAAAAGAGGCTTTTCAATTCTTCCTTCATGCCGCTCTGTGTACTGCTTCTCCATGTGCTAGTCCTCACTATCTCTGTTTATGCAGATTTGACACAAGATCCGATCGTTTCCCTGCTTCCACGTCATCTCGTGGCTTTTTATCCGCTACTTACAGACTCAAGAGACTACGCCCCATTTGGAAGCACGAACGGCTTTGCTCAAGATGGCTACAGTCGAACAATCATCACGTCGAAGCTTGGGGCAAGACTCGAGCAGGGTACCGGTCTCGACTTTCCTATACCATTACACAGTCGAATTTTCCCACAATTAACAATAGGCGCTTGGGTGCAGGCAGGCGAAGCAATGGCTGTCAACGATGGGTGGGTTTGTAATTGAACCAAACTAATGACCATTAAAAAAGTGAGCTCATATACATATGATGTAGGTGTCTGCTATCGCAGAATGGATCAAGTTTTGGGCGATCTATGTGTGTCATGAATGGAACATGGACCGTTGGAGGTGAATTGGTAAAAGATTATAAAGTGAAGATAGACGAGTGGTCATTGGTCGCAGCTGTGTTGGATACAAATGTGACGTATTTCTATATGGATGGAAAGTTGGTAGAGGTAAAGATGTCGTCAAAAGGTATGGCAAGTTCTACGCTGGTGGCTGGAGCTGCGGTAGGTCAAACTTTTGGAGGATTTACAGGATATCTCAAAGCTATATTTCTCTTCGACGTCGCTTTATCCGAGGTAGAGTTGAATACCTTGACGAATGCGATTGCGACCAATCAAACTAATACACCGCAAGCTCCACCTACTACGTTAGTGACCGACGCAGTCGTGAAGTTGGAGCCAAAGCTTCACTTTTATCGTAAAGATCACTTGCAACCTTTAGTTAGTGTTAGACAAGCCGTCGACATCGATCGCGAGGAATACAATGTCGCATTGCCGACTGTGAATGACGCAGAATTACTATCGGTGCGATTGGTGTATGCTGGTGATATCGCAGACGACACTTTAAGCCCCGTAGCTGATGCTGAATTCACTGTATGGTCGCTACAGCCAAAGCAGCGAAAGCTTCATGTAGGGTCGCTAGTGACTGTGCAAGGCACACCAATGTTTGACGAGCACACTTCTATGTGTAGAATAAATGAAGACATCATCTTTGATCCGATCAAGGTAACAGCACATTCTATCACATGCCAAATTCCAGAATTGAGCAAACAAAATACCATCAAGTTTGATATCTCCCAGAATGGAATTTCATACACTTCGCTTGGTGAGTTTCAGCTTCTTGAACGCCCGATAATCTTTCGAATTTTACCTGTACAACTGATACGTACATTTAAACCACAAGTTGTTGACATTTTCGGGACAAATTTTGCCAAATTAATCTCTTTAAGCTGTTCGATCGGCGGTGTCATTGTGCCCGCAACATTTTTATCTTCGTCAAGAGTACAATGTGAAGTTGAGTCTATACGATATGCAAGCTTGTCAAGTGTGGGTATCGATGTTTCAGTTAATGGAGTAGACTTTTCAGACGAACCTACAGACTTAGAGCTGTTGTCTGCACCATCCATTGACAGACTGTCGCCGGATAATGGACCTACGAAAGGAGGCACCCTGGTCGAAATTTACGGTCGCGACTTTGTTGATAACGTGCGCTATTCCATTTTGACCGATGATGTTGACTATGTGAACCCCAATTTGTTAAGATGGCGAACAACGGGTGCTAATTTTGCAGAAAGCAAAACTCTACAGCTTAGAATTGAGGGTCAAGTTTACCCTGAGATAACTGATTTGCAGTTTACCTATACCGCCGCGCCACGAATATCGTCCGTATTCCCGCAAACTGTCCCTGTTTGGTCCGAAACAGTGCTTGCAATATCTGGAAATGGCTTTGGAGATTTTTCTAACCTAAGTTGTTCCTTCGTCAAGGTAACTAGCACAGAAAGTCTATCTAATTCGAGTCTTTGGCTTTCTAATGCAGCATTCAAAACCTCTAGTATCCTTCAGTGTCCGACACCAAAGTTGTCTGAGCCAGGGTTGTATGCTGTCTCTGTGTCAAACAATGCGCAGGATTTTTCGCTTCCTTCAAATGGTGTTCGTATTACCGTATACAATGAGCTGCTCTTGGAGTCTGCGTCGGTATTGGCAGGTCCGGCCACTGGAGGAACAAACGTTGACGTCATAGGCAAGAACTTTGTGAACTCGACGAATGTAGCATGTCGATTTGGAGAGAGTCAAGGTCGAGCTGTTTTCATTTCGATATTGATCATTCGATGCATAAGTCCGGCGTGGGCACCAGAAATTGGGTCGTATGGATTAGCGCCGGTTGCGCTTCGAATTGCTTTAAACGGGCTTGATTTCTCAAATTCTAGTCTTCTGTTTCAGTATTATGCTCCGCCAATGATTAATACGATATTTCCATGGAGCATCTCTATCAATAGCACTTTATCTCTCACCTTATCCGGAAACTATCTCGTCTCGTTTGGAGGAGTAATTTGTCGGATTGGACCAAGTTTATTAATTCCTGGAATCGTGAGAAATGGAGGTCGATTAGTTCAATGTGCAACCCATCAAACACCTTTTACACCTGGAATGGTCGAAGCTAGTGTCTCATTAAATGGTGGAAATGATTTTACTCTCAGTCGAGTAAACCTTTTGGTACACGAGCCAATCATTATACGTAATATTGATATGCCTTACATAGCCAAAAACGTTACATCTTCGATCACTGTAAGAGGTCAAGGATTCATAAAAGGAATTGCGACGAAGTGTGCCTTTGGAGACTTGTTAACGAATGCAAGTGTTATCACCCCAGAGCTACTAACGTGCCCAATTCCGTCCACCATATCACGTGGTCATGATTACGAATTGCGTATTAGCCTAAACAATGGATATCAGTCTTCGAGCTCAGTTGGTCACGTGTATGTTTATGACTTGCCATCTTTCAACACAGTTTCTTTGACATTTCTCGATCATATGCAGCAAATTCATGTTAGAGGATCTGGATTTGTTCTTAACGAAAGCTTTTCGCTCGCAATCGAATGCCGATTAGATGATTTTGCTCGTGTGACTGCTCGAGTTAATAATGGATCGAGTCTATATTGTGTAGTGCCAGAGATGGAGTCGAATGGAGATGATTTTAGAAATGTGAGATTGAGTTTTCAGATTGGTCCATCAATTATAAGCACAGACTTATCGTTTACTTATGCATATACTCCTACATTTGTTGCACAAGATCCTGGTGATGTGCCAGGAAGAATGATACTGGATCTACAGGCGTTTAACTCTTCATTGAATCCAGTGATGTCCCATATAAACGCTACAATATTGCCTAATTCTCACCTCAAGCTCTATGACATCTCACCAAAGATTGTGGAAAGAGGCAAAGCCATAAATATCACTGTGCATGGACATGATTTTATAAGAGCAAGGACATTTTGTCATTTCAGCTCGAATTTTGAGCCTATATTAGCCGTCGTCACATCTCCAGCATTCGCATTGTGTGCTTTTGATGATGCTCGGGCTGAGACTGGAAGTGTTACTCTAGCACTTAGTTTGGAACGTGTGAGACCTAGCATTGCCACAGCCGCTTTCGCTCTTATAGATGCTCCAAAAATTTTATCCATTTACCCTCGACGCGGCCCGTTGCAAGGAGGTACAAAAGTTGTGGTCACAGGTACAGATTTTGCTAACAATGTGGCACTTTATTGTCATTTTGATGAACAAGCACAAGTATCTGCTACTAGGTTGACCGCAATGATGCTTGAATGTCTTACACCACGCAGTTATAGCGGACGTAATGCAAAAGTAAGTATTTCGATTGCCGCAACTATCCACTCCACAAATAGTGTACATTTTTTATACCAGGACATGCCTTATTTAATTAGCATGTCCCCATCCTTCGGCAGTGTTGAAGGCGGAACGATCGTAAATTTTTACGGACGATGGCTGAATGTGTCAGATGACTTTGTCGTGTGTACATTTGGTACATCTCAAGCCACTAATGTGGTAATTATTAACTCAACAAGTGTCATTGCTACATCCCCGTCTAGTTTCGAAGGAGCAGGTAAAGTGAGTGTGAAATGCACCCTAGACGGAGAGGCGATAACTCCGGTAGATTGGTCGTACGATTATCTTCTGTCGCCTTGGATTTTGAGTGTTACACCACAATTAGGGCTGGAGTCGTCCAGTACCCAGATTCTTGTCCAGGGCACCGGCTTTAGTACCAAATACCCAATGATATGCCAGATTGGTAACCATGCTAGTCCTGCGATCGTCCAGTCTTCATTTCAAGTAAAGTGTGTTGCTCCACCTCACACTTTCGGTTTGGTATATGTTAGTGTTACTTTTGATGGAATTCCCTTTCGGAACTCATCGATTGTTTTTGAATATCTCGGTAAATTTTGTTTTCTAATGCCAATTAAGATCGAGCTAAGTGGTTGTTTGGAATGTGTGCAGCCGAGCCAATTCTTCTTCAAGTGATACCACCCCTCGGATCAGAGACAGGAGGTACAAAGCTTTTGATCATTGGTGAAAGCTTCCCTCGCCATGCCGACATGAACTGTGTTTTTAGTCGTGATGCTGTAACGAATTTTACGACCGCATTCTGGGCTAACGAAGGTGGAATTGTCTGCATGACTCCGCCATTCACCCCTGGAGAAGCCTCCTTACAACTCGAAGTGGCTGGAAAGCGTAGTAGCAGCAGCCTTTTTTTTAATTTTACTGGTACGGTTGAAATCAAAGCTTACTTGTATAGGATCTTAACTTACACTATCGTATTTCTTTGCACAGTCGAGCCGAGAGTATTTTCCATTTCACCCTCGCGTAGCTCCGGGGCAGAGAGTATCTTCGTGACGGTAGATGGTGCTGGTTTTATCGACAATGAGTTTTTCCGGTGTAGCATGGGTACAGTCCTTGTGCTTGTAAGTAGTTTCAAGAGCCAAAATCGTGTCGTGTGCGAATTTCCGCGCCAATTTCATTCTGGAATTTTTCCAGTGCGAGTCTCGAATAACAATCAAGACTTTACTATTGATTCAGTACCATTTGTACTTTATCCTCCAGTTGTGGTGGACTACGCTACCCCACTTTACGCACTGATTGATGAAACTTTTACTGTAGTGACATTGGTAGGGCACAACTTTCATGAGCTTGTCGACTTAGTATGTCAACTTGATGTGATCGGCGCTGAAGGAGCTTTTGCTGAAGCTAGATTTGTTAGTGCGTCTACGTGCACATGCTCACTTGCGACGCCCATGAATCTATACCCATTCGATAACGCATCAATGTCGATACCAGCGATGCTCGAAGTGAAGCAAGTTGCGCAAGAGGTTGCTGTCCTTAAAGCTCCATTTCAATTTTTTATGAGGCCAATACCGCAAACTGCATCACCATCGCTGCTGCTTGCAAACGGAGGGCAAACAGTTGTCATCAGTGGACTAAATATATTTTCAAGCATGGACTTAATTTGCCAGTTTGAATCGTATCACCCATATGACCAGGTACCATTTGTGGTGCTTAATCACACCCATGGGTCTTGTCTTGCACCAGAACGTTCTCCAGGGTCTGTCAACATACGCTTATGCTTGCGCGAACTGAATCAATGTAGTCATGACTCAGTCACACTTTTGTATGGTCAGCAACCGATTGTTCGGAAACTGGTGCAACATGAGACAGCTGACGGTCGAATAATTATTGTGATTGGGGAAAATTATTACGATATGCCTATGTATTGTGACTTTGATGGTGAGCAGACGCCAGCGACATTCATCAATCAAAGCGAAGCGAGATGCTCGTTAGCCCTGGTTAAGCTGCATAAGTGCTCAAGATTTTCGCTGTTTATAGACGGAATAAACATTGTCAACGAACCTATAGCTTTTTGCTGGCAGGTGATACCGTTTGTGAGTCTGATTCGACCGAAAAGCGGCCCAGAACGAGGAGGAACACGCGTCCTTGTCAGTGGTGGACCATTCACAAGTGATGAAGACTATTCTTGTCAGTTTGGAGACATGACCGTCCCAGCAGAGTATCTTTCCTCTGCGCAGATATTTTGTAGCTCCCCCCCTAATCAAGCAATGTCAGTTGAATTTTTCGTTTCGGCGGTCACATTTAAAATCGCGTATGCTGCACAAATGACATTTACGTATCATCCTGCCCCAATTTCACTCAATATTACTCCAAGTCGTGGATCCGCAGAAGGCCAGTATGCAGTAACAATCGGAGGTTTAAATTTCATTCGAAGTGCAGGACTTCGATGTCGTTTTGGTGTTTCGGATATTGTAGCAGGATTGTGGCTGTCCAACTCTTCCATCTCTTGCGTGGTGCCTTCACATCGTCCAGGCTGGGTAGATATTCAAGTGAGCAACAACTTGCAAGATTATTCCGTCGAGCCTTTAAGATTTGAATACGTTGTCAGTCCTACAGTTCTATCTTTTGAGCCAAGGACAATGTACGCACAACACCAGCCCCAGCTGATCCTTTATGGAAGGGATTTTCGCAATTCAAGCGAACTGCGATGCATAGTCGGTAACGAACTAACTCTAGCAACTTTCGTGTCAGATACTAGAATTATGTGTAAAGCTGCAGTATTTGTGGATACCTCGGTCGTGATTGGCGTCATCGATTTTGCGCTGTCGATGGTTGGATCATTTGCGAAAGAAAGGTTGATTGTACTTGACGACAATGTATGGACCCTTCAACCTCGTGTGACCTCTGTGCGTGGTGTAACCCCGGTAGTTCTTAATCGAGGTATAAGGAGTGATTTTTTGGAATCTGAAGCTATCGTTGGACGATTCTGCTCTCGTAACTATTCTACATGCTCGGAACTTACACCAGCGAATTTGATTGGAGCTGGCGAATATCATTGGATCCCTCCACGGTGGACAGATACGAACTTGATGGGATTTGTGGAGATGTTTCGGAAATCTCATGCATCGAGAAGTCCAGCTGTACCGATCGCAAGTTTTACGTACCGATATCATTTGGAAGTCGAGCTTAAAAGTCTCACGCCTGCGATTGGCTCACTTGATGGTGGAACAGTTGTGACAATATCTGGCACCAATTTTCAGGACGGACACAGTTTGAGTTGTGCATTAACCGGCACGGTGTTCATTCCAGCCCTATTTATCTCTAACTCGATGATCAGTTGTATTATTCCAGCTTTTGTGTCGGGATCACGAGAAATTCAAGTGTTTGTGTCGCTAAATGCTTTAGAATTGAGTGAAAATTCGTTAGTTTTTACATATGTAGAGACTCCTTCCGTTTTGAGCATATTCCCAAGTGGAGGGCCACTTACTGGTTCGACTTTGATAAGTATACGAGGTGTGAACTTTGTTGGTACATCAAACAGTGCTTGTAGCTATGGGATTTATACATTGCCTGCTATTGTTGTTAGCTTGACCGAAGCGACATGCTTTGTTCAAGTATCGACGTTGACTTCAATTGGACCTGTGCATTTTCGGTTTTCGTCCAATGGTCAGGAATTCTCAAACGAAAACATATCGTACTACTTCTACGAGCATCCCTCTGTTATCGAGCTATATCCACAATCTGGAAGTGTGACCGGAGGGACAGTCTTGACTTTCAGCTGGGAAAAGTCGATATCATATAATTTATTTCACAATGTGTCCATTCAGATCGGTACATCAAACCTCCAAAGCACTTTAACAACAGAAACGACAGTCAGTGTGGTTGTTCCAGTAGCACAGGGTGGGGTGGCACCGGTGACAACCCGTCTATCTCTAAATGGACAAAATTACGTCGAATGTTCGCGCTTTTGGTACTTTGCGGAGCCTAAAATTGAAGCAATGTATCCGAATACCAGCGGAGAATCCAGAAAATCTTGGATTCGTGTGGAAGGCGCAAATTTTCCTCGATTTACGACCTTAAGCTGTCAGTTTGGATCATTTGATAGTGAAGCAATAGTATCAGCGGAATGGGTATCAGAAAATTTGGTATACTGTCGTGCCCCTGTCCATCGTATAGGAACAGTGTTCTTTGGATTTTCGATCAATGGAGTCGATTTTATTAACACGAACCTGCGCTTCACATTTACATCACATCCTATCCCACCTGAATTTTATCCACAATCGGGTCCCATCTGCGGTGGAACTAAGCTGTCAATAAAAATGAATTCAGAGGGCTTTCGCTGCGAACACTGGCATTGTGGTGTCGGAGACTTAGTAATAAGTGCTTCTTATGAAAATTCACAAGGCTTATTAATGTGCTCGATGCCTCCACAAGAGGACAACATCGAAGTTGCTATAAGTATTGAATGTGACGGCATTACCATTTTGGAGTTTGAAAAAAAGTTCCAGTACTATTTAACACCATCTATTTTCGAAATCGTACCGCAATCAATATCCTACAAATCTGGAGGTATCGTATCTGTCCGAGGGCGTAACTTCCTGGAAAGTGGCATGTTTTGCCGTATTGACACAAAGGATGTAATTAGCGCGATTATGGTCAACGAGTCGGAATTACGTTGTGCGATACCTGCAAATCCTTCTTACTCAGCCTTTTCGTACGTCACACTGGAAATTTCAGCCAATAAAGTTGATTACAGTACTAATAGGATCAAGATTCAGCTCTTGCCTTCACTTGAAGTGCTTGAAATAAGTCCGAAACATGCACTTGTCGGCCAAATAGTCGATGTATTAATTTTGACGTCAGGATTCATACTGAATCCCAGAATGTACACATGTCGAGTTGGCGAGGAATATGAAGTCCCAGCTCTGATTGCTTCACACAAATTTATCAAGTGCAGAATACCAGCGGTGGAAATACCAGGACCAGTGATTATATTCGTATCGAATAATGGACTCGAGTTTGTAGGAGGTCATAATACCACATTATTTTATCATCCACGTCCGATCATCCAATCGATCAGCCAAACTAGTGGGTCCGTTTTTGGTGGTGAAAGCGTGGTCATTTCTGGACGTGATTTTCATCCAGAGGTGGCTTTGGTGTGTTATTTTGGAAATACATTTGTCGAAACAACATATATACGAGAGGATATGGTTACTTGTGTCGCGCCTCCATCGATGCTTTTAACTTTTACTCAATACGAGGGAGTGAACTTAAGCTCAAAGGTGAATTTTAATCTTAGCATTTTACCTGATAGCTCTAGCGCTTCGGCACATGAGCAACAAAGTGAATTGTTCTGGATGTATCGCCTTCCCGTTCTTGATGTAATCGTAACTCCTAATGTGATACCGACTGGGCAGTCCGTGCCCTTAAGAGTACAAGGGCTTGAAGCATCTTCATCATACACGATGAGACTTTTATTAGAAAATGACCGTGGATCTCGAAGTAACATCTTTCTCAACCTAACATATGATGATCGAAAGAATTGCTTGGAAGGAGACTTGTTATTACCGGCACCTGGTCGCTACGCAGTGAACATTGATGACAGTGGAGGTTATGTAGTCTCCAAGGACTATCTTCTAATCGAAGCCGTCGATCCCATAAAAGTGTTGAGTATAAGTCCGACCAGTGGACCAATAAGAGGTGGCTCTGTTGTTTTTTGGAAGACTGAACAACACTTGGATTCTAGAGACGATCTGATTTGTCGTTTTGGAGATTTGGTCTCCTTTGCAACTGTTTTGAAACCTGGCACTGTAGTCTGTGAATCTCCTGCAACAGATACTCCAAGAGAAGTGCAACTCGATCTCACTTTTCGAGACCAGCAAATAGTTGACAATGGATCGCACACGTTCACGTATTTTACGAATGAAGTGATCACGTCAATTTACCCGAACGAGCTGATGGAATTAAAAAGAAACACAGATCTGATCATCAGTGGATTAAATTTCTATTATCCATACGGAAATGCTTCATCATCATGCCGTATAGGAACTTTTGTAACTCGCGCATCGGTGATATCCCCAACTAAAGTTGCTTGTCAGTCTCCTGTTCTTCCTGCTGGCAAATATTTGGTATCCGTTGCTTGTGACGGTGTCAATTTTGTAGCATCGTCTCTAAATGTCACTTTTGTTTCTCGTATATGGATAACTGCCATCCAGCCATCAGCTGTTGCTGTAAGTGGAGGGATATTTATTGAAATGAAAGGCTCCGGATTTGTAAGACATACCTTTTTCAACTGTAACTTTGGAAAAGGGAAGTATATCACTAATGCAGAGGTCATCTCGTCTTCGAAGATTCGTTGCATCACTCCATTTGTCGGTACTCACAGTATCATTTTACCAGTTTCAATATCCACGATTTCATCGATGAGCAATGAATTGCTGCTTTCTTTTGAGGCACCTATTTCTCTGATTACAGTAACGCCGAATGTTGGTCTCAGCCGTGGAGGAACAATTGTGAAGATTGATGTTACTCCTTTGTCTTCTGCTGGTAACCTTCAATGTATCTTTGGTGATGTTTTGGTTAATGCTCGCCTCTTGACATCTTCCCAAATTGAGTGTAATAGCCCTTCGCATCGACCTCAAGCGGTGAGCCTTCGCATCCAAGGAGAAAATGCTAATTTTATAAACGGCTCGATGCTGTCATTTACGTTCGTACCTGATATGATTGTGACCAACGTATCTCCAACACGAGGTATGGCTAAGGGAAACACTTTGGTAGTATTTACTCTCTCTGAATCGCTCGATCTATTGATTCAGCCGATGATCATGTGCAGATTCGGCTCCACTTTTGTCGAGGTAAAGACGTTTCACGAAAAGCAGGTGACGTGTTCTACAGCTTTGGGAAAGAAAAATGAGGACGTTTCGATGGCAATTACTTTAAATGAGGAAGATCTGGCTTTAAGTCCCGTGCGTTTTCGATATTTTGCGAATCGTGAACTCGTCGGAATCGAGCCACAGATGGCTTCACTGAGTGGAAATGTGACGGTGACAGCAACTTTAGAATCGATTGATCTTGACTTCGATATCGTCTACGAATGTGGATTCGAAGCTACAGGGGAGGATCTAATACTTACCAACGCCCAAGTAATTTTGTCCGGGGCAGTTCAGTGTCGGGTACCTACTGATAGTTATAAAGATCCTAGACGGATAAGGGTATCAGTTTGGCAGAATGGAGAGCGCTACTCGACCAACACATTGGTATTTGAGCTCATCCTTCGTCCTACTATTGAAAATGTTACTCCAGCCTTCATTTCCGAAGCAAGCGAAGTTTTACTTCATGTCACTGGCACCAACTTTTCTCCTTATCACCGAACGACATGTATTTTTAACAACAATGAAGAAATTATTGCAAGTGTCATTTCGAAACATTTACTGGAATGCATAGCACCCGCACTTCCACCTGGAAATCACGCGTTTGGAATTTCGTGGAATATGTACGAGATTGCTCTGTTTCGTTTGCCACTCACAAGCGTTGAAGTATTGGCGTTAAAGTCAATCCAACCCAAGAGAGGATTTAGAAATCAGCAGAGAGAGATTCGTATTTTCGGCTCTGGATTCCACCCTTCAAATTACTTACTTTGCCGTTTTGGACAAGAACGGGTTCCCGCAATCTTTGTAAGTCAAGACGAAATCCGCTGTCGCACTCCAGTTCTACCGTCATTACCATTTTGGTCCACCGAAGCCTTAAATCGACATGAAATGTTTGTAGAAGTGACTTTAGATGGCGAAATTTATGTCAGTTCACCGCATGTTGTTTTCACTTACTTTACTACTCCTCGATTCGACAGTATATACCCCAGGGCTGGCAGTATATTGGGTGGAACACAAGTCCTGATAAGTGGCACATTTGACGGAAGTCTGCTCTACAAGTGCTTGTTTGAAGAAGTGTCTGTGCCGGCTATTCTCCTTAACTGGAGTACACTTTCTTGTGCTTCTCCTGTCTCAAAAGCTCCTCACAAGGTTAACATCGCAGTCGAAACTCTTGAAATTTTGATTGAGGGTAACGTCCCTTTCTGGTTTACATATTATGATCCCCCAATGATTCAATCGCTTAGCCCAGCAATTGCTAGAATTGGTGGTGGAGAAAAGATTTTACTTTTGGGGAAAAATTTCCTGTCTACAAATGCTTTACAGTGCCGATTTGGTGAGACTCTTGTCTCTGGTCTCGCCACATTTATCTCGTCAACAGCAGTAGAGTGTGTTGCTCCAACTCTTCAAACTGTAGGCTTCATTAGTGTCGAAATGACGATGAACGGAGTCGACTTCACTGCCAGTCTACAGACGTTGTACTATTACGACTCTATCGATGTTTTAAGTGTATCGCCGGAGAAAGTATCAACATCCGGTGGCACCAAGTTGTATCTCAAGCTTACAGCAGGACTAATACACACGAACGCGTTTTATGACTGCGTATTTGTACGTTTGATGAGCACATTGAAAAGGCCAGCTTACTTTATTTCGAGTACCGAATTGACGTGCTACACACCTCTGTGGACACCAGGAAAGACAGAAGTGGGAGTTTTAGTAAACGGAAAGGAGCAATACCTGGCAGCCAATTCTATCGCTTTCATTGCTGAGCCTGTGTTGCACGCCGTTCAGCCAGATCATGGTTCTATGAATGGTGGAACGGTTGTAACTTTATTTGGAGAAGCCCTAGACGATACATCGATTGTGTGTTTGTTTGATAACATTGAAATTGTCCCCAGCACTTTTTATCGGACATCAATGACGTGTACAGCTCCGAGCAGCATATCTAATGTTGTTGCACTTCATGTTGGGATTGGCTCTAGCATTCGATCGAATAGTGTCAGATTTTACTATGATCTACCTATTCAAATCTTGAATGTTTCGATTCAGCATTTACCAGATGCAGCCGGCAGCAATTTAATAATAACAGGCACAAATTTTCTTGACACAATGGAGCTGCAGTGCAGTTTTGGTGCAAAGTTAGGAGCTTTTCCAGCAACCTATGTTAATTCGACCGTGGTAAAGTGTTTTGTCGGAAGCTTTCGACTCGACCAAGGAACAATTGGAGTTAGCAATAATGGTCAAGACTTTACTTTCTTTGAAGCTCTTCTCAAGTACGAGATTAGTCCTCAAATTACTGCTATAAATCCTAAATCGGGACCTCTTGAGGGCGGAACACGTGTCCATATTACTCTAAGCAACGCACATTCACTAAGAAACGAAAATGTGATGATATTTTGCTCGTTTGGAAAGCAAGATAGTCGTGCATTATTAGTCGGTGATGATATGTTAATGTGTGTCTCGCCTGGCGTGAAAGAGCCGTCAGAAGTTCCAATTTCGTTTTATTGGAGAATAAATGATGGAGAGGACAACTTTGAAATGCCGAAACAACAAAACTTTTTATTCCAATATTTACGATTTCCGACATTGACGGACATTGAACCCTCAAGTGGATCCGCGGCTGAAGGCACAGTAGTGACATTATTCGGAATCGAATTTCGCGACGGAATGACAGTAAGGTTTGCTTATGGGACTAATACAGAAGATATTCTTGCTAGTATCGTATCTTCTCTGATAGCCACGGCCAGAGTACCTGAACAGCTGCTTGAAGGATTTGTTACTGTAGCAGTATCGATAAACCAAGTCGACTTTGGTGAGAAGCTGCCTTTTTTCGTTCGTCCACGGCCTATAATAGAGTCGGTATATCCGTCTCAAGTCAACTGGCTGACATCTCAACCTAATGTCACTCTTACAATTCGAGGCTCAGGCTTCACAGAAGTGGCTAAAGAGACGATGAGATGTCGAATTGGTGAGATTGGACCTTCAAGTCCTGTCGATTGGATCTCAAATACTAAAATTTTCTGCTTTGCAACGTACATGAACGCTGGTTTTTACAGTGTATATGTCGCATTAAATGGAGTGAACTTTGTGAGCGATAATGTAACAATTTCGTACAGAGATGAGTTTGCGGTGAGCCATATACTACCAGCTTTTGGAGTGTTAGGAGGGGGTACAAAAGTACAGATTTTTGGATCTAATTTCAATGAAATTACTACGGACCTAGACGTGGTCTGTGTACTTGGTACCAAAACGAGTCTTCTTCATGTCATAAATGCAACTTTGGCCGAGTGTGTCACTCCAAGCCAGCCAAAAGCTGGTTTGGTGTCGTTTTCGGTTGCTCGTTTAGCTGACATAGACCGTCAACACAACACACAAGGACTTTGCTTTTTTTATCATAAGATGCCGACTATCATCATGATCATTCCATCTATAATCGGATCCTCAAATACCACTACGCTTCGTCTCAAAGGCGCTAATTTTCTCGATTCGTCGCTCTTATCATGTGTGATTGAAAATGTTTCATTCCCAGGTAGATTCATCTCGTCAAGCATTATTGAATGTGTCGTGAATAATGGATTTAAACGTCTCTGGCATACTGGAAGCTTTCTCAGTGCTGAAGTGTCCAATAACGGGCAAGATGTATCAAATACGGAATTTCAAATCTTCGTTCATTCTTCACTCCAACTTATCCAATTAGCACCGTCTAAAGCTTCGATTCGAAGACCAGTGACAATCAGAATCCAGTGTCGTGGGCTATCTGTTTTTTATCAAAACCTCAAGTGCCACATTGGAGAATCATCAGTTGTATCTGCTACAAACCTTGGTGATGGATGGATCGAGTGTATTGTACCACCTGCTTCACGATCAGGACTTGTAAAGGTATCTGTCTCAATGGATGGTGGCTTCTATGCCTCGGAATCGCTACAACTATCGTACGAAGATGTATCAGTGATTTATTCTATCGACCCTACAAGTGGTCCATTTCGCGGTGGTACTTTAGTTACCGTTCAGGGCGAAGGTTTTGGAACATCTGATGCGCTCTACTGTGTTTTTGGGACAGATTTCGTGCACGCCCAGGTACAAAATTCCCAAACCGCTCGATGCTTCTCACCCACATATCATGTCGGTTTAAAGCAGGTTGTTAATGTGACTGTAGTCAAAGGTGAGGCTGCTTCATCGCTTACTTATGATTCTGTTGTCTCGTTTTCATATGTCGATATACCACAAGTTTTAGAATTATCTCCATCTGTTGTTTTAACTGGAGATAAGACTCTTGTCACGCTTATAACAACAGGAATCGATGAGTCTGCTACTATCTGGTGTAAGTTTGGTCACGTGATTGTCCAAGCAAATAAGGATGGGTCTTTGGTGCAGTGCCACTCTCCAAGTCTCCAGCCAGGTCGATATTTCGTTGAAATCTCCAACAACAAGCAAGATTTCAGTGAATCTTACGCTGAATTGACTGTGAAGTTGAAGCCTGTCGCTTTAGCACTTAGCCCCACGTATGGATCACCCAAAGGAGGCAACGTTGTAACAATCTCAGGAACTGGTTTCGATTCGAATGCGACCTTGGAATGTTCGTTTGCTGAGATCAGAGTTCCTGCTTTGTTACGCTCGTCGGATCAAATAGAGTGTGTGGCTCCTTTTCACATGGCAAAAAATCAGACTCAACGGGTCTCAATTCGCTCTCGAGCATCTCAAAACGAGATTCAGTTAATTGAGATTGATACGATGGATGAAGGACCACACGTTCAGGTGGTGACAACAAAAAGTTGGGGAAATTCTCCGGAAGTGCATGATTTACTTCTTGTTCACCCTGCAGCATTAACTCAGACGCAAGTTGTGGTAACGACGATCTCGGAGTATCGCCCTGACATCCAGCATGTGATGCTAAAAAATACACCACAGCTACCTGAAATTCAGATGATTCAGACTTCGGCCAATAGCATTATTTCAGGAGCATTTACCTTGCGCGTATTCGGCATTGCTACCGCCCCTTTTTCGTATACTGAAACTGCGAGTTCGTTCGCGCAAAAACTGACGGATTCAACGCTAGGAAGTCACACCTTTCAAGTGACACGAACGGGTCCAAAAAGTTCGAGTATACAAGACTATACTTGGTATGTGACGTTCGTGTCAGATATTGGTCAGCAGCCGATTCTGTTGTTGAACTCCAATAATCTCGCGGGAACTGCGGCAACTATAACGATATCTCGACTGCGGTCGGGCACATCAGTCGAGGTCCAAACTTTAAGTTTATTTGGTCACAGTTTAGACTCTAAAGTTGGATCATTTTCTATATCCTTTGGAGAAAATTCGATAATGGTTGATCTTCACGCTAGTTCTGCAGACATGGCTACAGCGTTAAAACAGCTTCCAGCACTCAAAGATGTTACAGTCTCGTATAATTCTCGAGTAACAACTGCGTATACAATATATGAATGGGACGTACACTTTGAAGTGAACATGCAGCCCATCATGTTGTTCGAAATTGGTTGTGACCTTTTCGATGTTAAGAGCTACGTAGCGCGCAAAAGGGTGGGGACTACACCACCACCAAGTGGGAATTTCGTGCTGAATTTGGGATCTGAAACAACAGCTTTGATACCTTGGAATGCCTCAAGCGCTGAAATGAAGTTGATACTTGAATCGCTGGATGCTGTATCAGTTGCTATAGTAAATCTCAACGATGACTCGGCCTATCTTCGCCTCTGGGAAATCACGTTTCCGCCAGTTAATGGCGATCTTCCAGTTCTCACCACTGACAATCGATCCTATGGAGATACATTAAATACATTGTCGAATGGGTTAGATATAATTACCAAGAGTATACTGGATGCTAAACCTTTACAAGGTTCATTCCGCGTCACTCATCAACATTCTGGTGAATTTGTAGATATGCCGGCAAATGCAGATTGTGCGATGATGTTGAATGTCATTGGAGGGTCAACATGCGCTATGTTTGGCCCAGGACTATCAGGGGAACGTCAGTGGACTATTAATTTTGCCTTGAACACATCACCCGTCAATCCAGTCATTGTATCAAGCTACGGTCTGACAGGTGCTTCACCAAGTGTCAATGTGGTGACACGACCAATTGGAAACAAAGCAGAGATTCAGCAGCTTGAATTTAAGTTAAACCATGCGCCTGAAGTCCAGCGTTTGTTTGTATCTCAAACTGGAAACATGTGGGAGATACAATCTTTGACTATTGTTGGTGATAGTCGACTCGATGGCATGTTTCGAATTGGTTTCGGGTCCGTTCTGTCGCGATTGTTAGAACCCGAAGCGAGTGCAAATGAAGTACTTAACGCTATTCAAAGTGTGTATCAAGGCGGTTCAGTAGCAGTGTCTAGGAGCACTGTGGTGCAATCGACATTACAGGGTCTGCGCTGGGATGTAACATTCTACACTGCTGGAGATATTGAAGATCTGAGTGTTGTATCAAATATCACGAGTAGTGGGTCCAACTTCTCTGTGAGTTTTGCTGAAACTAAAAGAGGTGTGATCGTTGAAGTTCAGAATGTAACGTTATCAGCTTCAAGTGGAATCTTCGATGGGACTTTCAAGCTGGCTTTTCGAGGCAGTATTTCAGCTACCTTACCTTTAAATGCCAGCGCTCTGGATGTCAAGTCGAAGCTCGAAGAGATGGTCACAATCAGTGCAGTCAATGTCAGTCTGATTGAGCACAACACAGTAGGAGGACGCACCTGGATGGTGACATTCCCCTTTCACGCAGGAGACTTGCCACCCCTACAAGTTGTCAGTTTGACATCAACAAGTACAAAGGCTCCGACGCTCGCAATTTATGAGGTTTCAAAAGGTCAAATGTCTTCTTTGAGTGGTAATTTTGAGCTTAAGTATCTAGATTGTCAAACTCAAGTCGCCGTGGGATCTAGTGCAGCACAAATTCAAATGGCTTTGCTGAGTCTAGCTTCTTTATCGTCTCAGACGTTACAGGTATCGATGGCTTGGACAGATTTCACAGGTGGTTCCGCTTGGGATGTGACGTTTACTTCCTTAATTCCGACTTCACTAGTTGCTATTGATACGACAAATCTTAATGGCGATTTTCCATTTGGAATGACGCAGAAAGTAAGATCTGCTACACAAGAGGAAGTGCAACAAGTTCGAACGTTAAGTTTAGATGGTGGAGCACTCTCTGGAGAGTTCACTCTTGTTTACGATAATGAAACAACATCATTGCTCCCGTTCGACTGTACAGCTGTAATGATGCAAAATGCTTTGAATCTGCTTCCATCTATTGGAACGGTTGCTGTCAGTCGAAATATTGGGGCAACAGGGACGTATTTTGATTGGTTTATCACTTTTACGGCGCCAAAAGTGCATGCAGATCCACTGCTTCTCGAAGCAAAAGGAGAGCAAATAACGCTCAAGTCGACAAAATCTGATGCGAGAATCACCGTCACCGAGATGGTTAATGGATCACTTAGTGCTTTGTCTGGAAACTTTTCACTCCAACTTGGAAATGGGAAGAAGGTCATAGTGTCAGCGGGTGCTTCAGCATCTGAGCTAGCTACACAACTTGCCAAGCTGACTACTGTAACGAAAGTGACAGCTTCTCGCTCTACAACTGGGCCTGCTGCCTATGGTGTGTATTCATGGACAGTCACCTTTCATGATAGCGGAGATGTTCCAATGCTAAGGGTTGATGCGTCTGCACTCGAATCCACGGGTGAGATTGTAAACTCAGTCTCAACTATGCAAGAAGGTTTGCTTTCATGCTGTATTGACGGCTCGTTTCGGCTTTTGGCTGGACAAATCGATCAAATTCTACCGGGTACGCTGAAGGTGGAACGAAACTGGCCATTAGTGACAACAAGTCATGATTTGACTGCAGTATTAGCTCGTGGTGACCTCATTCGAATTGGAGTCAATGTATTTGCCGTTGACCACTTTCTTCCATTTAATGCGACCGTTATCCCGTTAAATGTTTCATATCCTGAAGCTACAGATACAGGACAAATTGCGTATTCGCAACGCAAAACGAAGGAAATTATAGTGATCGATGTAACAGCAGACCAAATTGCTAGTGAATTGCGAACAATTCTTCCTGATGCAGATATTCATGTACAAAATGTTGAGCAAATGCCTAATGGGGGTTCACGATGGCTATTGACTTTCATGAAAATTTTTCGTTGGAGTCCATTACGTACGTCTTTTAATTCATCTAAAACATCGTTAGAAGCAAGTCTAACCCAGACAAAAGAGCGTGAAGAGGGTGAGATATATATGATATACGTCAATGGTAGTGCCCCCATCAGTGGGACATTCGCATTATCAATTGATGGAATTGTGTGGAAATCTTTAGCGGTCAATGCAACAGCAGACGACATGCGATTGTTGCTACAAAGCGCTGGATTTTATGAAAAAGTCATGGTAGAAAGAAAGGCATTGGCACTTACTCCGTATCCGTATGGCGATGGTTACGGCTGGTTTGTCGAATTTTTATCTGATGCAGGACACGTGCGACCGCTTTATTTTGATACAAAAGGAGTTAAAAGTACTTCTCGCCCGGACATCTCCGCCGGGTGGATTTTAATACGACCTGCGACGTCGACGCCATTAGGAGGCTCGTTCCAGCTTGGCTGGAAAGGAAAATACACAAGAAATATTGGTTTCGATGCAACGGCAGCTGAAGTCACAACCGCAATTCAGGAGCTACAAGATTTAAATATAACAGGTGTGACACGATCACCTACGGGTACAAACAACGGGTACACCTGGTTCATTACTTTTGACTCTCAATCTTCAAGCGAGCTGCTTAGTGTATCGACTTCTGAACTAAGCGGTACTAGGGCAACCGCTCAAGTGATAGTGTTAAAGCAAGCACCACGGATTATTGGGTCGTTTCGGCTCGAATTAAATGGTGTTTTTACCGACGAACTTCTGGTATCAAGCACTCCTGAGCAACTTGGAAGCGCGCTGACGAACGCACTAAACGTAGGTCGCGTCTTTGTCTCGTCGATTCCATCCCAAGCCCTTACGTGGAAAGTAGAATTCATCTCGACTCGAGGATCCATTGACTTGCTTCGCATTGATACACGAAAAGTGATTGGATTGAATGTCATTTCACGTGTTTCTCGTCTTCAAAGGGGTATATCTTCGCCAATAGATGTTGGATCTGTAAGTCTCAGTTTTAATAACAATGAAACTATTGCCATCAGCTTAAACGCAAGTGAAAGCGACGCTATCACAGCTTTTCAGTCCAAAACAAGTGCTAGTGTCAAATCAGTGCAAATATCGAAGCAGTCCGAAGTGATAGGTGATCGAAACTATGTGATACTGTATTGGGACATATCGTTCGATCCCTCTGCCCAGACTCACGACCACGCGGTCATGTGCGACTTTCCTCTCGTTCAAGCTGATGTGACGGATATTTATGGTGCTGATGTGACAACGTGGACAGAACGCGTGGCTTCGCCTTGTGTGTCCGTCACGCTTTACGTCAACAGTCAAAATTTTGTTGACACAAATCTCAAGTATGCTTTCATCTTAATTCCTGTGGTCACTTCATTGCATCCGGCACTGGGTCCTGCAAGCGGAGGCACTAATGTCACGATACGAGGTCAGCACTTTGTCGCTGGTCCTCAACTCGTTTGTGTGTTTGGATCTCAGGAGGCTCAAGCCTTTTTTATAAATGTAACAACAGTTTGGTGCATTGCTCCGCCACAACGATATTCGACAACATTATATGTAAAACTCAAAGCATTTAGTTTGGAGAGACCAGGTCAAGACTTTGTATCCGAATCACTTGCGGTCTTCGAGTACTATCCTCAGCTTGAATTCAAGGCCATGTATCCTACTGAGGGTCCTTGTACTGGAGGAACAGAGCTGAAACTAAACGTTTCCGGCGTTCGGGAGTCGCCTCTACTCTCTTGTGCCTTCACAATCAATATGCCAAGTCGAGAAGAGCCTATGTACGTCGTTGTCGCAGGTCAGTTCTACGATAACGAATATTTGACGTGCATCACACCATCGCTTGCAACTTTTCTTCTGTTTTTAAAAGCAACTTGGCCATACAAAGCCACCGCAATCGCTAACGTGCAAGTTTCGAACAACGGCATCGACTTTGTCTCGGCTTCAAGACCATTTCTTTTCACCCCAGTCGTAAATATTACAAGTGAGGCTGAAGTTGATCTAAGTACCGTAACAATTGTCTCGATGGTACCACTGATAGGTCCACTTCGAGGAGGAACAACAGTGCGTTTGACGCTATCGACGGCTTATCCTGGATCACTCGTTTTCTGCCGGTTTGGCGCAGAAGTTGTTTATGGAACAGTAAACACACACATCGTCTTATGTGTTACTCCACGAGTTGCAACCGCAAAGAAAGTTCGGGTATCAATCGGTGCCAATGGCATAAATTTTGATGTTTTCGCGGCAATTTTCGAATATCGCGTCGATGCGTCTCAATCTTTCCAGCTAACGCCATTGAGTGGATTCATTGGAGGAGGCACAATGCTTCATATTTTCGGTATTCTATTCGATAAAGATGGCAGCTATTCGTGTAAAATCGGTGAGAAGATTGTGCCTGCTGAGTACGTTAATGACACACACGTCGGCTGTCGGACGCCAAGTATCGACAAGCCAGGACAAGTGTCGGTCAAATTATCGGACAATGGCGTCGACTTCTCCAACTTTAACTTGTCTTTTGTTTATAATAATCCACTTTACGTAAGACGAATTGATCCAGTGAGCGGGGATTTAGAAGGTGGACAACTTGTGACAATTCAAGGTGGCAATTTTAGTACAGGAGCTGAGGCTGTCACTTGTCGATTTGGAGATGCAGAGACGAAAGCTATGGTTCTGTCGGCTTCAAGTGCTCAATGTATTGCTCCAAAATTGCAACCAATACACGAGATTCAAAGTTTGAAGCTGACTGCCGATAGCTTTGTTCCCGAAATCCAAAGCGTCACAATAGCATCGTTACCCTTGCAGCCGACAGTTCAAGAAATTACTATGACTGAAGCGGCCCGTGTGCCAGAGATACAACGATATACCGTATCGGGAGATGCAGTCCGTGAGAAGCAGTCGATTCGACTTCGTTCGCTTGCATATTCAGGCGAAGAATTTCGTGTCGCAAGCTCCATTGTTTCGCTGGTGAACGAAGTTCAGACCGTTGAATTGCGTGCTACTTCTTTTATCGGTGGGTCATTCCGTCTTTCAATGGAACACCGGCAGACGACCACTCTTACTTCGTACGCAACGCGACAAGACGTTGAGATAGCACTCGAAAGTCTCGATAACGTTAAAAGTGTTGCTGTTTCAAGAAATACTCAAGGATCCCTGGGCTCGTGCACTTGGGTGATTGAGTTTTTGGATCGAGCCGGAGACGTACCGATGCTTGAGTTTATTAATGTCTCTCTTGGAGATTCAGGTTCAACCGATCTATTTTTTGGCGTCTCAGAGACGGTCAAAGGACAAGGAAGTCCTCTTTTTGGCTTTTATCATTTGATTATTGATGGGATCCGTACCTCACGTCTTGCGTATGATGCGACGAAAGACGAGATGATGGATGCTCTTCGAGCTGTACCCACTTCGAACGACATCATTAGTGTTACTCGGTCAGGTCCATTCCTAAACAATGCGTATGAGTGGAGACTATCGTTTGGCGGGTTCCCAAGCCACATTCGGACTATAAACTACGACGTTAGTGGCTTGGCCCAAGCGAGGGGAAATCTTGATGTCACGCTTATTTCTACGGGAGCTAAGAGCGAGCAGCAGCAGATTACAACCACCTTATCGAGTGGGAGTTTTATGTGCAAACTACTATCAAGTGAAAGTGGTAGTATTGACGTGAGTTGGACTGGCGAAGAAGTTACGCAAGCGTTTGATAGCTCAAATTTTGGACATGTGGTCGTAGAAGGTGATGCTGGAGGCCCGTGGGTTGTCATCTTTGTCGAATTGGCAGGAGATTTGCCGCTCTTGTCATGTGGGGCAACGCAAACGGTGACAGAAGTGACAGTGGGCAGCGGACAAAGCTTGGAAGGGAAGTTTGCTCTCGAATTAAATGGGGAACCGACTACTTTTTTTAATTTCGACGCAAGTGCTGCAGAATTAACAGCCGCATTGAGCCTTTTGACGAGTGTTGGTGAGGTGACCGTAGATTACCAACCGAGACATCCAAAGATTGGAGGAACTTGGATAATCACATTTTCGGAGTCGGATGGTGAGATCCCACTACTAAGCGCCGATACAACTCACTTAAAAGGGGAGTCACCGTCAGTTACTGTGACTGAGATTCAGCGAGGTAATCGACTTACCGGACAAGTAGCTTTTGCATGGAATGGCAACATTTCAAGTAGTTTTGATGTTAATACAAATGCTGTGGAAGTGGAAAAGGCTTTGTCGAATCTGATGGGGTTTGAAAATCAGATATATGTTAATGTGGTGCGGCAATCAACGAGTTTCAGAACCGTTTTCACCGCTACATTCCTGGAGATGCTTGGCAATATTACACAAATCCAACTCGTGAACCAAAGTGTAAGCGGTCAAGGAGTGACGCTGACGAATGAAACGTTACAGGATGGCATGCCACCTCTTAATGGAACCTTCACGCTTTCGTACGGACAAGTGCGAACACCGCCTCTTCATTGGAACGTGTCGTCTGAAGATATGACCGTGGCCGTGCAACTTCTTCGGAGCATTCCTTTTAACGACGGTGTTAGCGTTATTCGCTCGGGGTCTAGCTTCTCAAGTGGAAGGACATGGAAAGTAACATTTCCATATGGAATGCCATTTCCGAGTCGACTTTTTGTAGTTGACTATAGCTCAATTTTTGGTTTTAATGTGACAATGCACGTTCGCTTGTTGTCACAAGAAACGGAAAGGTTAGGCGGCACCATTCGAGTAAGTTATGGAGGCGTATCAACTGCGAAATTAAACATTACTAATTCAAGTGTCAAGTCATTCCAAAGCGAGCTACAAAAACTTCCGTCTTTAGCGTATGTAATCGTTTCACGATCTCAAACTGGAAACTCAATCGAATATCTCGTCACGTTTCAGTCCCTAGACGCAGCGATTTCAGTGTCATCTTTGCTGAGTATTGATGTGACGGAAGTAAAAGGAACGGAACCGACCGCAGATGTACGACGGACTCGCGATGGAAAGCACAGCGAAATTCAGAGCATTTCAATATACGGAACTATTGACGTTCCGAGCGTAAATTTTAATGTTGTGTGGGACGGAAAGCGAAGCAGCATTGCTGGGTCGGCAACGATACTTGCGACAGACCTCAAAACTATGTTGGCCACGATACCTGGACTCGGAGCTGCAGTCGTAGAGCGTTATCCTTCTACTGTTGGTGTTGGCTTCACTTGGCTGGTATTATTGATTGAGGGCACACGAGATGTTCCGATTCCATTCACCATTGAGCTGCTTGGAACAATACCGTCCGATCTTATTTATCAAGTAATAGTGTATCCTGCGACACTGTCGCCGTTAACAGGAACATTTACATTGCTTACTGGAAAAGAAACGTGCGTTGAATTAAGTTTAGGTGACTATTGCGCCGATGAGAAAATTTCGGCAATCCCAGTTAATGCCGATGCGATGGCAATGGCACTAGAAATCTCGGCCTTACCCAATTTGGCTGGAACTACTGTCTCGTTAGGACCAAAAGTTTCAAATTGGGAATATGAGTGGATCGTGACTTTCCCAAGCGCCTATCTGGAACTACTCCTCTTAGAAATTGACCAAGCTTCTATCAACGGGCCATTTGTGCATTTTAAAACCACACGACTGCAAGAAAGTATTGGTATAAATGGCATCTCTTTACCTCTTGAAGTCTCTACAAATGGTCAAGACTATTCATCAAGTGGAATTTATTATCATTATACGCCAATTCCTGAAGTTTTCTTGATCACGCCAAACCATGGACCTTTAAAAGGAGGAACTGAGATTGTAGTCACGGGAATTAATTTTCAGAATACGAGTACCTTGTGTTGTAGGTTTGGTGATCGCGTTACAACAGCCGCTGTGTTTTTCAACTCGACCCACTTCACCTGCGTATCCCCTAGTGGATTTGAACAGGGCGAAGTCTATATGGAAGTCACGAATCATGGGCTACTTGGCTCCACCATCTTCACCACCAGCAGAAAAGTTTTCACGTACGATCCTGATATACGAATTGACACACTTTTTCCGTCTCTAGGTCCTACCACAGGCAATTTTTCAGTTCGAATCATGGGAGGACCTTTTAAATTATCGGACACTGGATACTGTAAATTCGCTGAGATTCTTGTTGAGGCGACTTGGGTGAGCGCCGATGAGGTGTCGTGTACGGCGCCACCGCACAGTCCTGGTGTATTTGCGCTAGAATTGACTAGAAATGGTCAGGACTACACTGAAACGTGTGTGCCATTTACATACTATGAAGAACAAGGCTTTCGGTATATCTCACCTACATTTGGGCCAGCTTATTCTGCGGGAACTAGAATTGATATTGATGGCTTTAATTTTGTGAATTCGTCTTTGCTGTCTTGTCGGTTTGGCTATGTTGTTACTCCAGCGGAGTACGTAAGTCCAACAAAAATGCAATGTTCTACACCGTCACTACCGATTTATTGTGGTGAACTCATGTTTGCGCCACTGTCAGAGTATCGTAATCAATATGTCGACCCCAATGTTGGCAGCTTGTACATGTTCCCCGACGCGCACACCTATCCGCAATATCTTACACGTTTAGTGTCAGTTGAAATCTCGAATAACCAGCAAGATTTCTCACTTTCAGGCATAAATTTCGTGTACTACCAAGACGAAACGCTTGAGACAATCGCTCCAACTCAAGCTTTTGATAGTGATGATACGCTGTCAATTTTTGCCTATGGTCAAAATTTTATCAATAGCACCGCTTTATCTTGCCGTCTTGGACTGCAGACCTTTCCTGCGACGTTCATAAGCTCACGATTGTTGTTGTGTGAGGTAGTACATCCGATGTTGTTGCACGACGGTTCACTAAGAAGTTTAAACAATATTCGTCACCTTACTCAACCGAGACATGCACCTTTTGAGGTGTCTAACAACGGAAGGGACTATACAATTAGCCACGTCACTTTCGAATTTCTTGGAGCGTGCCCGACTGGGTATTTTTGTCCAAAGCAGCTGCAAGGCTCGAACAGGAAACTTCCTTGTCCGCGCGGTACGTACTGTCCTGGGGTTGCCAATAAAGCTTTCACTCTCTGTCCACGCGGAACGTATCAGCCACAAACTACTCAAGCGGCGTGTCTTCGATGCCCAATTGGATATCACTGTCCGCATGCAGGTATGCACGTACCGCGGTTGTGTCCAGCTGGATTTGTTTGTGACGTCACCGGAATTGAAGAAGCCAATGTGCCCTGCCCGGCAGGACACTACTGTCTCGAGGGGACCGCGACCACAGCAACGACGTGCACTCCGACATCAAGCCATACGGGGATGATGGTTGCATCTGCTGGACTGACCGTGACAGTGCGTCGACAACGGGGTAAAGCTCCTCTGGCCAGTGTACAGGCTCGTAAGAGTGGATGCTGGCGTAACGAGACGAACGACTTTGGGTTGCAGCTTAGTGCTCGTCCTTCGCGGTTTTGGATGGAATTACGGCAGCTTCCTTTGGCGCCTGGTTCATCGTTTAATACACCTATACGTGGTCGATTCTGTTTGGACGATACCTGTGTAAAGCTAGCAGACGCAGACAACCTTCGAGTAAAGGACTTGTTCTTTGACTATGACTCAACAGACTTTGCTTTGCGGCGACCAGTTGCGTGTCCTGCAGGATCGTATTGCCACCCTGGCACTGCAGCGAGCGATTCGCTTATGAAGAATTTTTCAACTATTCAGCCTTGTTTTGAGTCCATGTATTGTCCAGAAGGTAGTACAAGCCCACGTGGTTTTGGAGAGTGCGCTCCAGGCTTCTACTGTCCGTTTGGCACGCGCATTCCATGTCCTGCTGGGTCGTACTGCCCTCAAACAGGTCATATCGCACCATTACCATGTCCTCCTGGTACATTTAACGGCATGACAGCGCAGGCAAACTGCACTTCATGTCCTGTTGGGTTAATTTGTCCAGGGTATGGTCGAATCATGCCTGCCTTGTGTCCACCTGGCTACGTGTGTAGCAAAACGGGGCTCGCATCGCCGAATAGTTTGTGTCCAAGGGGGTTTTACTGCCTTGAAGGCACAGCAACTTCAGATGGATTTCGAAATGACACGAGGCTGAGACCGTATCCATGTCGACCTGGCACTTACTGCCTCAAAGGTGTCGTGGCTGACGAAGTCCGTGTGGGTGACTATCGCTATCCACAAAATTGTACGGCAGGTTTCTTTTGCGAACTAGGGTCATTTTCACCTAAAGGTTCAGGCCTTTGTCCACCTGGTTTTACTTGTCCAAGCGGAACGACAGCTCCAATACCTACATCGGTAGGAACGTTTGCTCAGCTTGAAGGAACTGTGTCTGCAGCTGCATGCTCCCCGGGTTATTACGCACCAACAATTGAGTCAACCGAATGCGTGCCGTGTCCTCCTGGCACGTCATGTGAGAACGACGGTACAGCTATTGCAACCATTTGTCCGCCAGGTTCGTATCGTGGGAGTCTATCTGCAGATGGTTTGGCGTGTTTACCTTGTCCCCAAGGCACATGGTCTAAGAACTGGGAACTTCGCGGCGTTGAAGAGTGTATAGAGTGTGCGCCTGGAACGGTATGCCCTATTGATGGCATTTCGAACCCGTGCACAATCAGTGATTTGCCTGACACTTACGCACCCGTAGCCGCTAACTTAACGTTCTCTCAGTGTCTTGAAGGTGGACCTACTTTCTTTTTTGGAATACTTTTGGAGCCATGGATTGACGAGTCTGGTCGCGGTGTTCACTTCCTCCCTGACCGAGATAATGGACGCTGCTACGAAAACGCAAAACCTCGAGGATCGGATCTGTATCAACGATTTGCGGAGTTTCATGGACCCCTTTACGAGATTAGCACGAAAACGGGAATCCCTCATCAAGGATATGGCACCGATAGTCAGAATCCCCCACTAAATATATTTGCGCGGGGCTCGCTGGCTATTGATCTACCACTCTCAAGAGCTTACGACGTCGCACGGAACTGCACACCGGGCTTCTTCTTTAAGCAACAATGGTATCCAGGTACGTGCGAGGCCGATCTAATTTGCTCGGCTTCTGCTTCGTCAAACGTAACATCCGCGGATGAGTTGGTAGCACAGGCACAGCCATGTCCCGAGGGCTACGTCTGTGATGCATCGACGACTAGCGACAATGCCTTTAGTCACCTCTGTCCGGCCGGCTACGTCTGTGGCGCAGGCACAACACCAGATCTCACACTCGACTCGCCTCGCGGGCAGCTTCGCGAGTTGTGTCCAGCCGGATCATACTGTATGGCTGGTACGGCCGAGTCGCAAAAAAGACGATATAAGTGCCCTGCTGGCTATTTCTGCCCAACTGGGACGGCAAATCCATTTCTCGGTGAGATGGCAAACGATGCACTGCGACGACGACTCTCAAGCAACGTGAGTAATCCGTTTTTATCCATGAATTACACGAAATACGTTGGAGAGGGCGATATCCGGGTGGTGTCTGCTCATGATATTCATTGCTTTGACGGAGTTGACGCGAATCTTGTCGACGTATTTCGTATGCGACCAGATCCTACGAATGCTAGCAAAACAATTGTCGTAAACCGAGCTGAAGAGCAAGAGCATTTGTGTGGTCGCGACCACAAGTGGAGAATGGTGGATTTTGCGATGCGTCGAAATGACTGCGATTGTGTATTACAGACAAAGATTGTACGTCGCGTTTTCCAGCTATGGAAGTGCACAACAATGCCATCTTCTACTCCGCCTTCTCGTTACGATTCAAGTAGGTTTGGCTGGCCTAAAGCTCACAATTCAGCTATCCAGTGTGCATTTTCGGGTACTCGTGCTTCAAAGCCTGTTAACCTTACTTCTCTAGTTGCTGAGGGAGGCACTGGTGTGCGATTTCAAACGGGCTGGACAAATACCATAGCCGTGCATTCATACGAAGAGCTTCGGTCTCTTGTCGAGGCTACGTATGCCATAGAAGGTAAATTGGTGAATCCATACGTGTTTGATTTACACCATGCTGTCGATTTGATTGAGAATTTTGGAGAGGACACCGCACAGATTGCTGGCTTTGTCTTCGATTCTAGTGAAAGCAAGGACGATGATCTGATTAGATTGGATGCTTGCGCGTGTTCACAGATGCTTAAGTGTCCAAATGGAACCACGTCCGCCGCTGGATCTGACGACATTTACGACTGCGTGAAAACAGGAGACGAAGTTCTTCAGCGTATTAGCCTCATTCCCTTGACAAGCGATCGGCTACTGCATGGCCTCGAATATCAAGACGTAACTGGAGTTTCGGGTCGAGGATTGGGTAGCATCATTCTTAAACCTCTTGAAGTAGCCGTCGTGACAATTAATACGACACGAATCGAGCGTAATCTCACGTACGGTGCTCACTACCAAATTTCTGTATACCAAGACTGCAAGCCTTGTCCTCCTCGATACAAGTGCGACTTAAGCAGCGAGCCACCTAGCTGTAAGTATCCTGATAATGATAATCGTACGGCGAGTATGCTGTATGAAAAGTGCTTGGAAAGGTACAAAGGAGACTCGTCCATCTGCAGCAACATGCCGTACTTTTGCGATCACCGCGCACTTTCTGCGAATAGCTCACTAGGGACAGCTGATGAAAGACACAACGACACTACCATTCTTGCAGGGTGTTGCTCTTGTGAGCGACAGGAAATGCCATACTACTTCATGGACAATTCTATAGCAGATAGAGGCTTCCCAGACAACAAGCACGGATATATACAGTTTAGTGTCGCTGCACTTAAGCAGGTGGAGATTACGATAGCGGTGGAGCTGGTCCACGGATTGTATGTCCGCGACTTTGCTAGCGAGTTCACTGAAGATAGCTTCGATTTGACAGTATTCACCCCTAAACGTGCGGACTATTCTCTATCGACTCCATCAACCAATTCCTTCCTCGCGGTCATGCAACAATCTGATTTGGACGGCATCATGCTGCCGCTCAATTTGCCTGAAGAATACGTTCGAGTAGCCGGTACTCTCACGTACAAGCAGCAGGTTGCAAGCACAATGCTCATTAATCGCATGTCAGACATCTTTGTCGGTGACCCTGAGCTTCCAGGCAAACGCAATTATATCCGCAATACTGAGCAGAATTCCATCGGTGAGCTCAGTTCGACGAGTAGTGCGAGCGATAGCAGTAATGGGAGCAAAAAAACAGACAGTTTTGTCGTCTCGCCAACATATTATTTTGGACTGTATCCGATTCCAAATTCAGCTGATGCCACTCTGCGTCGGGATTCGTGGTGGACTCAAAAACTAGGTGGCTCTGAGTTTTTAGCACTTCCGTACTTGCCGTACTTTTCGTCGTGTAGAGGCTTTGGCTCGAACATTTTTCTTTTCAAGTTGCTCGAGACTCATCCGGATTGTACTTTTGTTAGCTATGACGAAACTGTCGAGGTGGACCAGTACCCGTGGAAGCGCAAGCTCGTTCCAAATGCTGATCGATGCATCATCGAGTATACGGCCGAGGTAGCTGAAACGCAATCGCTATTTTCATCAATTTCATCCAAGGCCGAAGCCTTGACTCAAAGCTCAAATTCCTCGGCATCAAAAACGACATTTGAAACGTTTCAGCGAGGTATAAGCTTGGCATGCCTTTATGAAGAAAACCTTGAAGGTGGAACGGAGAAAACACGCTGGTACGAGGCACCCACCGACACGATTTTGTTTTATCTTACGCGTGATCCAACGGCAGCAGACGATTTTGTCGCTAAAGGAGATGCTACTACAGGAACGGGTTGGGGTCGCTCCAATGTCTTGAAAAGCTATATAGGCTCTGATGCTCTCATTCCTGTCAAAGGTAAAATTATGTAGCTGCTGAATTCCCTGTATAATATTGATGTTATTGTGTATACCGATTTCAGTCGGGCGAGCTGCTGGTGTAGCGTTAGCAGTACCACGTGAGGTTTACCTCAACTTGAGCTACTATCAAATCACACCAAGTAAAAAGAGACTTGTACAAGCATCAGCGAGCTTTGGCAACCTGTGTGCGGTGACACGATCAGCTGATATGCTGACGAAGTTGGCCAAAAAGAGCATATACCCGTGCACTGTCAATAAAGCAACAAACCAATTAGCGTCGAAAGAGTATACGCTACAGGTGTTGTGGGTACCCCTTGACTGGTTCGAGCTCCTTAACCTGTTCCAATTCAGTGTGGATGTTTACTTGGGCATCTTTACGTTGGTTGCGATAGCCAGTATGCTTCTTGGGGTACGTTGTTTTACTGCATCAGCCTACTTGCAATGCTATGTTATCACATGTACCAATGTTTTGCTTTCAGTTTGTTCTTTGGGTGATTAACCGTTTGTTCACGAAAACGAGGCACCCACCCAAATTTCGCATGAAAATGCTGCTTAGAAATGTAGCCACTCCACCTCCGATTGGCATTTTGCTTGGAATTGTACCAATCTTTGTAGCGTGTATGCTCGTTTACACATGGTGGCACGTTATAGCTTCGACGGACCCGCTCAAAACACCAAGCGCAGCGTCATTTGAAGACACGGCTGGCGACTGGCTGGACCAGATTTCGTTAGACAAGGCTCGCGTAGAAAATTACAAACGCGGTCGGGTCGGACTTAGTTTAATAGTGATTGGTATCTATCTCCTGCTTCTAGGCTCGAGATTACTGGTGCCAGAGACTCTGGACGCTAAACCCGAGGACAACGCACACAAGGAAATGTCCATTGTCAAACCCACTGATCCGTTTACTTTCGAAGCATCCGAAACAGAGGGTGAGAATGAAAGTGAATTGTGGGATCCTCGTGCTTGGAAACGGGCCAACCTTTTGCTCATAACAGTGTGCTTTTTAGCACCTATGCTGGTTTTTTGGGAGTTTTCGTACTCACCATCATTCACAGACAACATCTATGGCTACTTTGTTCTGTTTAAGATCCTGCGAGCTGTGATGGAGTTAGTGCTGGAATTTTTCTTGCACGAAAAACTTTTGGTCATGCCGTTTGCTGTGGTGCTGTCAGCTTCCGAAAGTATGATGGCGATGGGCTCGGCCGACTTTATTGGCTTTCTTACATTTTACGTCATCAACATGACCCTAGTTATGGTTGAGCACCTGTACACGGCGCCGTTGTTGCGTCACACACGTGCTTTATGGCCAAAATGGCGTCTTCTTCTTCAACGTAAATGGAGAAAGCGGCGATTACGTTCTCGTGAGCAAAAGGCTGATGAAGAAGCCGAGTGGCAACGCGTATGTGAGCAAATTGATCTCCAAGCCTCCGGAGTTGAGGCAGTACTTGAAGGAATAGCCGGCTACAGCGTCGTGTTCACAGAGCTTTTCATCGCACCAACTTTACTAGCCTTTCAAGCGTTCTTTAGCAGTGACACGCAGATGCCAGCACTTTACAATGTCAGGCAAACGGACCTGCTGTATTACGCGCTCTTTTCTCTGTTTATTATCCCAAGTAACTTGGTGCTGGGCGCGTTGCAGCTGAACACGATGGAATTAGCGCATGGGTGGAGACTTTTCGAATATTCGGCGTACCAGAGGCATCGTTTCGCTACACGAGAAAAGCGATGGCAATTAACCCACACGGCAGCGGATGAGAGTATTCATCCAAGCTGCCAAAGTCTGGATGTGCTTTGCTTTTCGTCGCAACTCTATTTTCTGCTGATCGTGTACTCTGCAGGTATTCTACTTAGTATGTTTGGAATTTCTGTCTGTTTGCGTGCCAGCTACAGCTTCTTTGGCGACCCTATCACACTTCTTGTCATCTCTGTAGTCATGTGTCTGATGCGAGGGTTGGAACTTGTTTGTGTCCGGCTTGGGGGCAAATTTGAGGTGTGGAAACCACGCAATAACGGAAGCAGTACTCTGGATGAAGAACTTGCCGCCAAGCTTGCTCTAGGTGCCGGTCGACAACAAGAGCTAGAGCGCGAGCGTCTAGATCTTCAAGCTCTTAATTCGGAACGATTTCGTCACCGGTTCTTAGAGCGCAACCGCCCTTGGGTGCTAGAACATCTTGCAGAGATTTTTACAGCACGAACGCTCCAAGCTACAGACGGCTTGGCTGGTGACAACCGTCCCAATTCGGAGTATATACGCGATCTGTATCATGAGCTCGTGAACATGGGTGAAGGACGGCGACTTAAAGGTGATCGGTCTGATATCTCCTCGGACACAGAGGATGATCTTGAGAAACAGCGTCGATCTTGGTCAAATGTGCCGGTAGAGGGGGCTTCGCGTAATTTAGTCTTGTTCTGGTTGGCACGAGCTCGTAAGCGACGAGCATTGGGCAAATGCGTAGGTGAGATTGTTGCTAAATACTGTCAAAGTGAATGCTGTGTCTGTGGCAAACGCGAGGACGGCGGATACACTCTGCATGTTGATTTGGCAGCACAAGATGGGGCGAAGGAACATGATCCGCGTGCGCTAGATCGACTCATTGATGAGTTTGAAATTAAATTCGGAGCACAAGAGACAGATGCCGATTTGTGGAAAGCTTACGTCCGCAAGCATGCATACTTTGCCACACTCTGTAATGTGTGCTTGACCGTCAAACAGCAGGGATCGGAAAACGAGGCAAATAAACTTGTTAGAGTCACTAAGTTACGCACGGAAGATATCTCGAGTGACGAAGGTAGCGATGATGATGTAGGCGACGTGTCATTTGCTCCCATCATAGTGGCGCGAGCATCCACAGAAGGTCGCGTACTCACGAAATGGCTACTTGCTGCTCGGAAGCGGTTGGGTGGCGTCTTTCCACGACCCGAAGCTCAGGAAGAAATGGAGCGTTATGCACGCAAGCTCAAACATTTAAGTCGACGAGCGGGTAAAACGGATCACGTTGATTCTGATGATGAGGAAAACGACCCATCACGATATTGGAGGATAGAGTTGAACGAAGCTGCCCGGGCACTTGCGCTGAGGTGGCTGTGGAAAGCTCGTGACATTCGTGATTTCGCGGCACGCGACGTTGCAATTGACTTGCGTACAAAATTGCAAGCACTCAATGACAAGATCGTAGAAGCCGATGATTGGTATTTCGGACGGGATCTGCGTGAAGCTGGCCTTGCCTTGCATTACGATGGAGTACAACTTGCAAAGGATCAGACTCGCATAAACGAAGAGTTGGCTCAAAATATTCAAGTCACAGAGCGAGATGTGGAAGCATTTGCGAAATCTCAGCGATCAAAGAACGCAGCGGAGGAAAAGGCATTTGCTGAGCTCATCGAAAAAGAGCGCGAAAAAGGTATAGCTAAAATTGCTGCTCGAAAAGTTGAGCTGTTAGAGGTCTATAAACAGAAGGAGATGGAGTTCGCTGCGGCCCAAAGACAAGCTCAAGAGACTGGGAATTTAGCACCCGATTTAAGTGCAGAGCACCGCACAAGTTTGGCAAAAATGGTTGAAGAAAGACGTGGCGAGCTCACACTCATGGAAGAAGCTTTGAACACGAAGACGCAGCAGAAAGAAGCCGCTTTCGCCCGGAAACTAGCTCTTGCTGAGGTCGCAGTGGTAAGTCGATATGCTCTGGCCCAGCATCGCATCCTCACACTGCGAAAAGAAGCACGTGAGGTTGTCCGTGCCCGCGAATTTTCTTGGCAGTCAAAGGCGAGATCTTGGATAGACCGCGCATCCCGCAAAGTGCAGGTAAAGCAGCAAGAAGAAACTGAAGCTCAACTGAATGATAAGCGGCGCCGTAAGCGCGTTATGCTTGCCATATAAGTTATGTGAACATTCATTAGTTTGTTGCTCTCGCTTTTAGTGCGTGGATATGATGGATGGTGCGTTTATGTTGATCACTTATACGACTGGTACAGTGTCTGCTTAGCTTTTGGACTTTGCCAGGCGTGTAACTGAGCTGGAACCGGAGCGTGGCAACCAGATTTTGATTGAGCAGTCAGCTGAAGCAGAGGCCAGAATGGGCTCCGTCGGATGAAAATCCACGCAATATACGCGGTCATTGTGGGCATCAATCTTCTGCACCAGCATTTGAGTATACTTGCTCGAAGCACTAGATTTGCTCCCTCCACCGTTGTTTGCGTTATTAGGCGGTAACATTTCGTGCAAGTAAATGTGACGGTCAGCGCTACCAGTTGCCAGAAGCAACATTTCGCGCGAGGCGTCCATGGATCCGTGCTCACCGCTTGTGTCAGCAAAGTCTTCTCTAACCGCATCCGTGAGTTCACGACGCGAGACTGAACCAGAACTAGCACCAAAACCTCCTTGTAGCCAACCCCTTGGTGGAAGTGCCAGCTTGTACTTATATCCGTCGCCGCGGAAGAATGAGCTCTTGATCGGCCAGTTTCTGTTTTTATGACCGGAAACAGAGCACACCAATTCCAGTTGGTCGCTGTCGTAGCGGTTACTTCCACCATTAGGACCGCGTCTAGTGGTACGAGAGCTAATAAGCTTTGAACGTCGGTCATACACGCGCAGAATATTGTCGTAGCTATTTACACCCAGAAAACGACCGTCATCGCCACCGTCATTAGCAGGTGACGCGTGTACATGCGAGATAGCGTGTCCAGCTGGGTCGTTAAGCACTGTCAACTCTTCAAGACACGCATCCATCCGAACGTCCCACGTTTTTAGCATACCCTACAATATCTCCGCCATATATTGAGTCGTCACTTACCGAAAAGAGCACCTGTTATAACAAAGTTTACCTTGCTGTCACCTGTAGTAACTGTAAGACCATCATGAGCAACATGTAGTGCGTTAACCATAGCATCGTTAGTCCATGTGCGGCACACCTCGGATCGCGCATCTGCCATATGTAAAAAGCACTTGCTGGTGCCAAAAAAGAACTGGTTATTCTCTGCATAAAATGTCAGCAACCTTTTTCGTACAGTCAAAGCCTCCTTTTCGTACCTGCCATATTGTATGATACGCATTGCACAAGTCCATCCACCACCTTGCTGGTCACAAGTTCGCTCTTCTCGACATCCCACAGCTTAACGGAGTGATCATAACTACCTGATATAAGTGTAGCGCTATCCTCCGCCCAACTCACATCGATCACAAGCTGTGCGTGCCCCGCCAGTGCCGCCAGTTGCGGCTGGTTGAATTTGGTAGTAACATCCCATAACATCACCTTGCAGTCGAAGCTACCAGACACCAACAGTCTCCCACAAGGTGAAAACTTGGCTGTGTAAACTGCACCGCCGTGTGCCCGCAGCGTTGACTTATGCACAAGCACGCGGGCATCTCCATCCCCGTCTGCGTCGTACAAATCTCCTTTAGTGGCCGAGACGCCGTGCACACGACGAAAAGACGACTCAGCAACGGCCTCAGCAATTGGTGCAGGGGCTGCTAGCAGGTCCGCGAT